AGAAACATGGAAAGCAGCTGGTGCTGTAGACTTATGTGGTCATTATTGGGAGTGAAATTTCCAAGAGAGAGATTAACCCAGATGGACAAGATGAAATTTGCACGTTTAGAAAGTAAAGGAGTAAGCAGCCCCATGGATGTAGAAGGAACCAATAATGAGGAAGTATGAGAACCAGGGAGTGAAGGTTCTCACATCACCATGGGAGTGGAGGAGGCCACAAAGAAAAGGCATCCCACGCACCAAGTCAGGGTGCTGAGGAGAAGGTTGACTGATGGCTGGGAAAGCCTGTGGTATTTGATGATTAGGTCTTTTTCTACATCCATGGAGAGGAGTAGGTAGGCATTACGTTCTCCAAGAGTAGTTAACATTAGGAAAAGGTTAGGAAATGATAATAAATAAACAAGGCAGGGTATACACATGAATATGTAGTGTGATTTTAGTTCTGTAAAAGAGTTACAGGTATAAATAAGCAGAGAAAAGTAAGTACTCAAGAGTAGTTTTTGAGCTACTGTGTGCTACCCAGTCGGGACACGGAGATGTACAAGATAGATACCCTTGACCTTTACATTTTCCTTCCAGGTGGGATAGACAGTAAACAAATAAACATACAAAGTAGAGATAATTTCCACTAGTGATAAATGCTAGGAGTAAAACTAAAGACAGATGCAATGGAGATTATTGAGGAAGGGAAAAAGTGATGGCCTCTTTGAGGACCTTGCACTTAAGCTGGAATTTAAATGAAAAGGACCCCACTCTGGGAAAATAGGGGTGGGGGTGAGGGTCGTCCCAGGAAAAAGTACCAGCAAGAACAAAGTCCCCAAGACAGAAAGAAGCTGTGGGAACAGACAGATTTGCAGTGTGTCCTGAGCTGTGAGATTATTAAAATAAAGTATAAGACATGTTCCATGTGTTCGGACAGCTCACAGACATATAGAAAAATCATTATGTATATTATGATAATATATGTATTATCTGGGACAGAGACAAGTACAAGGTGATCTGAATACACAGTAAAGGAGGGGAGTCGCCTAGTTCAGGAAGCAGGCAGATGTGATCTTTGAGCTAAGCCTTCTGAATCTTTTATGGGGGTTTCTGCCAGGGTTGGTGATCACTGATGAGAAATATTGCCAGAAGGGAGAATCTTTGTAAGGAGCAGGGGAAGAAATCAGTAAGGCAATATAAATAGAAGCTGTTAGACTAGTAAATACAGGAGAAACTACATAGTTCAGCCAGACCTGAGGCCAAGAAGGGAAAACTTCTGGGGACTGCTGACCCATTGCTTCTCCTGTAGATTCTTCGTGGAGACCATGATAAGTGACAAATCCCATAGCTCTCTAACCACATTGTCTTGCCTGATGCTTCACAGGAAACCCTAGAAATCAGGGACCCAGGACTGGAGGATGTCTCTGCTCTCAGAGGATGTCTGTGCTCACTTTCCTGGGTTCCCCTGGGGTGCAGAATAATCTTGGCTGATGGGATTGTTCTTCCTTCCCTAACCATCAACTCTGGAGGGGAAGTGGGCCACCCATGAGCGGTGTGGGGTGAGTAGACAAGGACTCCGCAAGGGAGGATGGCAATGGAGGGCATCACTGAAAAAAGAAATTGCAAAGTTCACAAACACATAGCAACATAAAGGTTAATGGCTGATTTAGGGGAGCATGAGTAGTCCGTTATGGTGGCAGCTCTGTGTGTGTGTGTGTATGTGTGTTCGTGCAGTGATGGGAAATAAGGTTAAAAATCAGGTTAGGGCCAGCTTCTGAAAGGTCTTAGATGATTTCCTTGGGACTTTGTGCTTGATTTTGTTGAAAGTGAGGCATCATCAAAGTGTTAAATATAAGAGGCATGTGATAAATTGCTTATTTTAGAACAGCTCTGAATGCGGTTTGGAATATTATTACAGGGGGTTAAACCTGGAGGTTGAATGACCAGCTGGAAAATGACTGTGCCATTGAGGCAGGAAATGATGAATGCTAAATTAGGATAGTAGCA